TTGTCTCCACAGCTGAACTCAGCGCCTCAGAGAGGCAGCACAGGACAGTAGAATGAACACTGTATCCAAAGGGACTGTGTTCTACCTTAAGAGGCAGAGCTGAGGCGCAGGGAGCCCCTTGGGTTCCACTCAGCAGACCAAGAACTTCATCTCAGCTCTGCCGTCATCCAACTGTTGGTAGCCAGCTTCAGGAGACTCGGCTGCCTGTCTCTAAGTTCTGTGTCCTCATCTCTAAAATTATATATAGACTGGTCTATAGACTTTGAGGTACTATTATTCAACATATACATCTATTTTCATCAATTATTAACTTTGTTTTAATACTTGGGCAAGTTGCTTTACTGTTTCTGCATTCGTAAAGTTGAAAAGTTTTAGGTAAGGAGGGATCAATAATTCTAGGATCCTTGGCTGATCAAACATGTCCAGATTATTAAGGAAGTTGGAGAAGTCAGAGTGTTAGGATTCAGAGAATGGAATTATTTGAAAAGACTTTGTGTACCTTGGGTGAGGTCTGAACTTTCATCTGTTTCCCAGGGATCCCTGATTGAGCTTATTGTGTTTGCTACGGAGCAAAAGATCTTAGCACGGTTGATTGGTGATGCCTGAGACATTCTGATTGCTACAATTCAGCAAAGGAGAGGGAGACACAGGGATGTGCTAAGCATTCTCCAACACAAAAGGAAGAGCCCTGCAACAAAGGATTGTCCTGACCAAATGTCAGCAGTGCTGAGGTTGAGAAGCCCTTTCTAAAGCATGGGGAACACATCAGCAGGTGTTTGACATGTGGCTAAAATTCTTCATTGGTGAGAAAACGGCAGGCTGCTCTCACAAAGAGTAAGAGGGGCTTCGGAGCTACGCACAGACAAAAGAATGGACATGTGGTTCCATGAACTAAGCATCTGTTGAGACTAGTGCTTGCGGTTGTGTCAAGAGCTGTCCTGGAGGACTAGTTAGAGAGATGCCATAATGCCATCAGAGCAGCTTTGAGATCCTTAGCTAGCCAACCAACCACTAGAGGAAGGGTGCTAGGGGATTAGGAGGAAGGAGTGCTAACGGATCAGGATGGAAAAAAGGATAGTTAGCCAGCTGAAAGAACAGGACCTAAAAGTTCAAGGAGGAAAACAGAAGAAAAGTGGAGCCATACCACTTCCCATGGTAAGCAGTTAGCATGCAAACTGCTAGCTGCAAATGAAGGATGGACCCATACATGGAAATGGACATTTTCATTACTAAAAAACCAACACGGGAGGGGGGGAGTAAACACTGGCTTGTTTGTAGATAACAAAACACTGCAATTATTTCTGTCTAAAGCATTCATCCGAAAGGCAGAAGCAAGAACAAACTTCACTGGAAGGGTCTAAACAAGTGCGGAATTTTTAAAAAGAAAAACATTGTTTGTGGATCACAACCTATAAGGCTGGCTCTCTCAGCCTGACAGTTACTTGTGCTTTTTTCATATTTGCTTCTTGCCAAAGTGAGATGTTTAGTTTTAATAACAAATAAGCTTCACAGGTAGAAGAAGAGGCAAGTGGGGGAGGCTATGAGCAGTAAGTATCAGTCTTTAAAGACCACAATTTGGAGATTACAGTATGAGGCTTGCATTGTAAGAGAAGGAGGTACACAATTCTCTAGAGAGCATCATCACCTCCAATCAACAAAATCATGCTGTCTGCCAAAGTAAGAGAGGGAAAAAATCAACTTAGTCATCTCATGCACTTAGAAACAACATAGCGCAATGCATGTCCCATCACCTGTGGGAGCCTTGGTATTGGCCTTCCTGCTCTCCTGGGTCCCCTTCTGGGCCCATACATGGACCTTATACTCCATGCCTGGTCTCAGGCCAGTCAGGACAGTACTGCTCTTCTCCTTAGGCACTGGAACTTCTCTGGTCTCTCCATCAGCTGAGGTGTAGCTCACCATATATCTGTCAATGTTGGCCTGAACAGGGTCCCAGGAGACACTGAGAGTATTCTCTGTCACCTGGTCAGTCACCAAGTTTTTCGGGCTGTCAATGTCTGAAAGGAAAATGTTTGAAAAGTCTAAGCTTTAACCATGGAAGCCACACACCTCCTTATCTTGCTTTTTATCTTCCAGAACTTTCAGCACAAGGCCAAGTCTCTGCTGGGAGTCAAGGAACAAAGCAGTTTCTGAGTCTCAATTTCAAAGTCAGGCTAGCTATACACTTAACATCTTTTCTTGACTTTTGGCTCCCTAAAATGTAGAAGGAACACTATCTTCATAGTAACATATGGTACATCGAGACAGCCAATTAAACACCTGCCACACTGTCAGGGTACCTAATTTATCATTTTATCAAGGGCTGCTTCTTCAGTGAGCACTCTGAGGGTATTGTCACAAGTATTTCCAAAACCAGACCCTCTACACACAACCCCAAGTCTGCTAAAAGCATCAACACTATGCGATCGTACTTCTCTCAGAGACCTGAGGCAGGCTGACTAGGTTAGGCTGGCTGGCCAGTGAGCCCCACGGATCCACCTGTGTGCCTGCCCAAAGCTGGAATCACAAGTGTGCATTCCCACATGCAGCTTTTTGCTAAGGATCAGACTTAGATTGAACGGCAAGCACTCTACCGGCTGAGCTATCTCTCATGTATCTAGTTGTAGTCTCTGGATTCAGATTCCAACCTGTGGTACCATGCATGCTCAAATCCATACTTTCACACTTCATTCCAACCATGCATCTCTCTGCTTACCTGTGGGAGCCTTGGTGTTGGCCTTCTTGCTTTCTCGATCGCCTTTCTCCGCCCACACGTAAACTTTGTACTCCACACCTGGACTCAGGCCAGTGAGGACGGTGCTCCTCTGGTCCTTTCTCACTGGAACCTGCTTCGTCTCACCATCCACGGAAGTATAGCTTACCACGTACCTGTCGATGTCAGCCTCTACTGGGTCCCATGAGACAGAGAGAGTGTTCTCTGTCACCCGATCAGTCACCAGGTTTTCTGGGCTGTCAATTTCTTTAAGGAAGATACAAAAGAAGAGGGTAAGCTTTATTACTTTCTAGTTCCTAAAAGGCCAAAGGCATGGCCAGAATAATGACTCAATTAACTCCACAGACAGCTATATGCCAGGGACTGCAAGATCTTAAGGCTTTAAGTAGACAAGTGTCAGGTATTCTAAGGATAAACTGCCAGTATGACTGGAAGGGAGAGTTCAGACCATGCCAATATATGGATCAATTCTATAAACTTTTCTTTCTTTAAAGAAATGGCTTTCATAAGCCATTTATAAGCAATTTACCATAAATTACATAGCACTCTCTTGCAGTTTCCTTCTTCCTTGTATCTAAAAGTGAGTATATGTCAATAATCTTCTCCCCTATCCCCCATTCTGCTATGTTCTTTGAGATGAAAAATGTTCTGGAAGTAGGAGCTGTCAGTGCTTTTCTACTGTGTCTAGGGAATGGGGTGAGCTTTAAACCGGTGGTACTGAGGTATAGGCTCATGAGAAGGATCCCAGTAGACTCTACGAATGAAACAGACTAGAACCTGGGCTCTGGTTTTCATGGTTCCTCACTTAGGACAAACATCGTAACTTAAGTTTCTGTCTCTGCCCCTCTACAAAGAAGGAAGGAGCTGACCTTCCTCATAGATAAACTACTGCATGGTGCATGCTTGTAAGGCTTGCTATTAAGAATGGCATGTAAGGTATGGGATATCCCTTTTCCCTCAAAATGTAAGGCCTTAGAGTCAAACAAAACTCTATTATACAACAATATTATACAAACAAAAAGGCATTCCTAAACATGATGTCTTTACCACCTTGCTCTAGGAGTCAGCTCCTCGAGTGTGCTCGCAGAAAGAAAGAGCATCTCAGCCTGCACACCCCAGCTGGCCAGGCCTAGCAGTGACCTCAGTCAAAAAAGTAGTCCCGTGAGACAACTGACCTTAAGGAGCACAGAGATGAGATGTTGTCTGCCATGGAAGGATAAAAGGTCTAACTCCTAATACACTTTAATGTCCCAGCTCCATCCTTGTTATTGTACCACTTCACAGACATGCCTACCATAAAGGACACCTGAGATTATCAACTGCCCAACCTCATCTCATACCTGAGGCCTTTGCACATGTGACTTCCCCATTAGCTCCTACCTGTCCTTCCAGGTTCTCTTCAAGGGTCCCTTCTTAAACATTTTCTTCCTCAAATTGGTTTTGGTCAATGTTTTATCACAGCAACAGAAAGCAAACTGGGACACTTGACATGCATCAATTGCTTTATATGAATCAACTCACTGGGCTGGACAGTTTCATGTCAACTTGACCTAAGCTAAAGTCATCTGAGAGGAGGGAACATCAATTAAGGAAATGCCTACGTAAGAGTGAGCTGTAGGCAAGTCTGTAGGGCATTTCTTAGTTAGTTATTATTGGGGGAGGGCCCAGCTCATTGTGGGTGGTCTGGGCTGGTGGTTCTAGATTCTATAAGAAAGCAGGCTGAACAAGCCATGAGGAGAAAGCCAGTAAGCAGCACTCTCTGTGTCCACTGCATCAAATCCTGCCTCCAGGATCCTACCCTGCTTGAGTTCCTATTCTGACTTCCTTTGATGATGAACTGTGATGTGGAAGTGTAAATTGAATAAACCTCTTCCTTCCCAACTTGATTTTGACCATGATGTTTCATCTCAGCAATAGTAACCCTAACTAAGACACTTATACAACCTTCCCCATATTCCTATAACCAGACACTCCTGAGCCATTTTATAAACCAGAAACTGACCCACCACCACTCAGCTAATAAATGGCAACACTGGGGTTAAATTTTAAATGGTCAAAGGTCTGAAACTGTATTCCTAATTACTATGCATGCTTCTCTGAAGTGATTGTTCAAACACAATCCTTTCCCTCTGAGTTTCTATTAAGTGCTGTGGACGAGCAGGTGGATGCCAATTAGACTGTCATGAATTCAGAGATGACCAATAGAGTGTTCAAACACAAAGATTGGCTGTGCTCTGTCCCAGCATGCCTCAGAACATCTGAAGGCCTGAGCTGAGAAGAACAAGCAGATGCAGTTGGAGATCCTTGTGTATCTAAACGTTTAAGGGAAGTATCAGTCCGTTTGGCAAATGTTGATGTGGGATGCAAACCATTTGTATGGACTGAAGGAGAGCTCCTGAGGCATGCACGCAAACGACTTCTATCACCACTGTCATCTGAGATAAGCATTCAAGTTTATAGTTGGCCCAATGTCTTCAGTTTTCATTAAAAAGTAAAAAAAAAATAAATTACATTTTACTCTACTCTAAGACAGATGTATATGGAATTCCATCCCAAATAAATATGACTACTTCTATCAAATAGTCTTATAGCTCAGTCTGAGGTTAAAATATAAAATAAATCATAAACATGGCATTTGAAATTTTCTTTGGGATAAAAATCTCAGCACTGAGCAGGAAAAGTAGATGCAAAGTCCCACCCCTAACCGAGGAGTTAACTGCAACTCACATCTGCTGGGAAGTAGGAAATCCATTTCCCCATGGGGTGTCACTGAGTACAACAATCACACTCCAAGTAGTCCCTATGCCCAGGGATAGAAGCCAACGCAAACAAACTCCATGGTTTTTGTGAGTTTTGTACTCTATTTTTTTAGTTGGTTTTGGTTTTTGATGTCTTGGGTTCTTTGTTTTATTACTTTTGTGGAGGCTTTTAAGAGAGAGAGAAAGAGCAAGGAGTTGAGTGAACTAGGAGGTGAAGTGGTATGGGTCTGAGATTAGTTGGAAGGGGAAAACAATATCATCAAATAAAAATCAAATATATTGCATAAAAATTTTTAAAAATAATAAAGATCTTTAAAAATTGCTTATGTAAATATTCTCCAACCCCACCAATAAAAGAGTTGATGCCGAGTAGCAATGATCCTCACCTTCAAAAGCAATTTCCTCCTTACCCTGAGGAAACCTACCTCACTCCCATTCGCCCGTTACCTGTGAGGGCCTTGGTGTCTGCTTTCTTGCTTCCTTGGTTGCCCCTCTCAGCCCATACAAAGACTTTGTAGGCCTCTCCTGGCTTCAAGCCTGTGAGAACGGTGCTGCTCTGGTCCTTGGGTACTGCCTTCTCCTTGGTCTCCCCTTCAGGGGAGATATAGCGCACCACATACTTGTCTATGTCAGCCCTCACTGGATCCCAGGAAACAGATGCTGTGTCTTCTGTCACCTGGTTTGTGACCACGTTGGTTGGTCCATCGATTTCTTCATACATAAGAAATAAAATTTAGAGAAACCAGTCACCTGGTAAAATTCACAATCACTTTAAAGTCTAGGTCAGTGGTCTTTCCACAATGCAAAGGGGTCTCTCCTTCAACCATGACAGGTGAATATCTAGCCTCTGCCTTAACCTGAAACTGAGAATAGGTCCCTGGTAAATTTTAAAAAAAAAAACTGTTCTAATTTCAGATCACTGACTACATTAGAGGAAACTCTGTTAGGCACAGCTGATAAACAGACTAATCAATGCTAACACTGACATAGTCGTTTCTGTGAAATATCACTCCTTTAACGTGTCTACTGTAAGTACAGGTGGGATGTCTCTAAGTCATTTGCAGGCGACCACTCAGCAACTATTCAAGAACAGTTATCCCTTCTCTTCTCAATTCCCCTGAAATCAAAACAACTGACCTCCTTGTCTATTTATTCCTCTCAAATTAAAGTTTCTTGACAGGGCACTTATCGTCTATCTATACAATGTTTCTTTCTTTTCCAAAATAAAAGTGCCAAAAATGTAACTTATTTACCCCACAACAATGACCAGGAATATGATGGCATTCAGCGGTTATTGATAAATAAAACAGCCAGGAGTCTTTGTTGAGGTCAATGGTGTTCAGAACAATTTACCAACGGTATCCTGGACACATACATGCTTCTCAAAAACACACCCTGTACCTGTGGTCTGAGGAAGCCCCTTACTAAATTCTGCCAACACTAGGTCCCTGCCAAGTACAACCAGCAGAGATTCCACTTCAGGAAGTGTAAAATAAGCCCAAGCATGTCTTAGCTTCTTTCAGGGACTTTTGTTTGCATATTTGTTTGTTTGTTTGGTTGGTTGGTTGGTTGGTTGGTTGGTCTTGTTTTATGCTTGGGGAGTTAAGAGAGTTCTTCAGAAACAGAATCTTACTATATAACTCAGCCTGGCTTGACCTCACAATCCTTGTATCTCAACTTTCTGAATGCTGGGATTAGAAACAAGTATCACCACATATACACATATCTCCCTGATTGTGATGGGACACGCCTGTAATTCCTGCACTTAGAAGCAGAAGGATCATGGGTGCAAGATAAACCTGGGCTATGCATGAAGTTCAACACCAAACTGAACCACTGAGTAAAGCCTTACCTAAAAAATATAATAATTTAGTATAAACACATAGACAAAACTTTTACGTGATTCCAATATACATCCAAGAATGAGGACTTCCATGTTAAGTCCAATTATCTCCATTCTATGCATGTTAAATAATGTCCTTAGCCAATATTTATACTTATTAGTTTTTACCTTCTTAAAGTTCTATATTTAATCTTTTGTCTAATATGCTCACTTTTCTGTCCATTTTTTCTGACACTGGAGAATTTTATAAGCAAGCAATCAATACACATTCATCAAGGTCACTGGTAAAGATGTCAAACAGAACAATGGTAAGACATGACCCTAGAATGTCCTCTGTATACGGATCTACATCCTTTCAACTAAAAAAGCCACAGAACAACTTCTTGGTCTAAGGCAGCTAAATTCTTCTCCTCCCTGTGCCGATCTATTCTTGGTCTCTCAACCAAGGATTTTTCAGAGAGAAGTTATAATTTCACATAGTCTCATTTTTCAACCTTAGCTACAGTGCACCTTTACCAAACATAAGGGCAGTGTTTTATTTGCAAGGAAAGATGAAATGTGCTCCATTACCAGAGGCAGTTCATATTTCATTTAGTAAGTCAACTGCTATTTACTAAGCACACACCAAGGGTCACAGTGCTTTCCATACATTAGTTACCAAATCTCATGGTGAAAACACAAGGCATTCACCAGGTCCCTCAGAAGTTAGGAAACTAATAAAGTCTTCCCCTCTTAGAGGAGTAAGCACACACTAGGCCCAGACAGGTTAGATAACTACTGTAAGATCAATAGTAATAAATATTAGCGACTGTCACTCCACTAACAATCTTTGTCTATCTGCAGCTGAGGATCAGTAGTGGTGTTTGTCAAATTGTGGCCAATTCTTCTGTTCCAATTCAACATACAAAAGTGTTGTGCCTTGCACCCCATGATAGAACCTACAATCTTTTCAGAAATAATAAAGCTAAAATGGAGTCTCTTGGGTAGATCCAATACAATATAACTAGCATCTTCTGAATCTATGTGGAATAATCACTAACAATTTCGGGTGGAATAAAATATGCTCTGAAAGGCTACTGTAACCTGAAATAACATAGGAGCAGTAGATTAGAACTTGGGGAGAATACTAAAGAGAAAAACAGTCTTGGGCTGTTGGAATACTAGGCATATCTCGTGGGCAAAGGGAACTCCATGGAATGAGAGAGGGAGGATCTGGATGCAGAAGCCTGCAGAACCCCAATGCCAACATCAGGAGGCTCTAAGAGATTGTTCAGAAGAAATCACACATGAAACAGAGAGGATTTCTTCTCTTGCCCCTTTCCCCAATGTCTCTGTGCTTGCTAGGGAGAGATGCTGACACCACCCCCCAAGGCCATAGCTCAGTCTGGGCAATAGTGATGAAAGGTGACTCACCCACATCTACAAAGTCTAGCATCCTAGCTATGCCTATTACTCTGGCACCTTGCCCCAGTCAGTACTTAGCCTGTAGCATCTGGCCTTTCTGCATAGGCCAGTGGATGAGTAGGGTCAGAACTGTCTATGTGCACTGAGAGATCCAACCTGGCTAGTGCTGGAGCTTGTGTTCCCTAAGCATCAGCCTCAGAACACTGAAGAGGTGGAGTCGTTGCCAAGGAAAACCCTAAGCAAACCCTCTAGAATCATTTGCCCTTTGTTTAAAAAACATTAACTTCATAAGTCACATAATCTAGCTAAAGACAGTTTCCATTAGCTTTGCCGTAGAAAACATCCAGTGCATTGTTGTAATGCTAACAGTTGCCTAGGTTGCTTTTCAAGGACCTGAGGAACACTTTGCTGGGAATATCAACTCTCTGTGCATGTGTCTGATGGGTGACTGAAATAGGATGGAGAGTCTTGCTGTATCTGCCTTCATTCTGTGTTTGTCTTCTTTTTTTGCTTTAACCTTTGAGTCAGATTCTACTCTGCTCTGCATGTAGACATGTTGATCATTTGAGAAAAGCTTTGCCTAAAGCTATAATGCAGGACTAACTTGACCTAGACCTTGCTAAGTCTCTTTTTCTCCTTCAGGGTTTAAAAACAACAACAACAAAAAATTATCAGATGCCACATGAAAACAAGAGACGATGAAAAGAGGAGGCATCTGAGTTTCTGAAAGAGCTCCACTTGTTCAGAGAAAAGACAGTAGCACCTTCGTTGGATGGGGGGGGCTCTCTCCCTCATTGGTCTGGTCCTATGTCTGTAACTCCTCAACTCCCTAGCCTCCTGAATGTTTTCAAGTAAAATTTCCTATTTTCTCATCCTTCAGTCACTGAAAAAAACCTTTCTTTCATTGTAGTACCCATCTTCCCAACATTGGGTTTTCTTCAGGGTGAGCTTCCAGATCCGAGTTAGGGAACAGTAGAGCCTAAAGCCTAAATAAATAAATAAATAAATAAATAAATAAATAAATAAATAAATCTTGGTTATGAACACCAGGAAAGAAAAATCAATCTAGATCTATATATAGAATAGGTCTAGATCTAGAAGCTTAACCACAGAAAGTCCATCTAGAGACAGAACCAGCCTAGAACTCAGTGATTTCTGTCTCCTTCCCCAACCCCCTTTTTCTCAACTCCTTAGCAGCATAGACTAGAAGGAGGGAATCCTCACAGAGCTGTGATCCCTGATCATTCACAGGGTGAAACAAAGATAGCAGCCAGATACTGACATCTGAAAATGAAAAGTAGATCCCATGGATGGACCCCACACACTCACAAAATTGCATGAAGCCAGCACTGCAAGACCAAAACCTCCCTGTCTGCCACAAGGAGGTGTGGGAAACATTAAGTCGTTTTTCCATGCAACAAAATCTTCCAGTAGCTGTCATGGTGGGCCAAATCCTAGATGAACTACAGCTGTAGCCACATTTACAAAACAGGATCTCTCCAACCTGGTCCCAGAGTCCTCCTTCAGCTACCACTTCCTGCCTGCTGCACACTGGCAGTCCTCATTGATCTCTATTGGCCTTGTCCTTTTTGTGATATTAGTTCCATAAAAGGATGACTGGAGAGGAGGAGGGAGGAAGATGGTAATTTGTTAACAACTATGGGTGAAACTAATAGTAAGATCTCCACCTAGTCTTGAGTGTCACATAGAAACTTTGACTTAAATATAGTCACTGACAAGAGCCACCACACCCTGTCTCCTTGAAAGCTTTCAGAAGTATTAAAACTGACACTGCTCTCTTACTCCAAAGTATTCCCAACTCTGCATAATCCCAAAGCATGACAGGGAAACAGAAAAACTTCTGGGGATGGGAGAAGGGAAAGGTGCGGTCACCACACACCCCCGTGGTAAGGATTGCCTGTGGGGAGACAGTATCACTTTTCCTGAGAGAGATATGAAACTGGAGAATTCAAACAACTAATGAACCTTGTTTAAGGACAAAATGTTAGTGGCCTTTGAATTCAACCATATCCAATTGTTCATTTTCTGTAAACCTGAGGGGTTGTTTTTTTTTTTTTTTCAAAAAAAGACTCTCAAAAAAGTTGTGAACAGAGTTTACAATCCAAAGATCATGATTTTGTTTTGATCTAAGGTACAGCAATACTTTCTTGGACCTTTTTGACTTAAACTTTTCTTCTCAGCACTCCCTTAGCTCATTTATAAACCTGTAGAATATACTCATAAAACAGCTTATACTCTCACTGAGAGATAAAACAGTTCTTGAATTAAAAAATAAGTATACTAGAACATTTTAATTCAATGTTTTAATTTTAGATTTTTATATTTAAATACAGATCATGTTCTTTGACAAATCTGATCTCAAAATCCTTTGTAGGTACAGTTAAATACTTATTATTCTCTGTCTCTTGAGAAGCCTATACCTATCCCTTTAGTGTGTTCTATCCTTTCCCTAATAAAGCCTAGTTTGCTTCATTGTTTTGTCCTCAAATTTTTTTTCTGCAGCATAATTCAAAGTCCTGGTTGTAGCAGAAGGAGCAGGGGTTCTTGGGAGAATGCCTCAAGCTGCATAATTATCAGTGTGGAATTTCATCTTTTGTTGCCTGTGATAATCCAGTCTCTCTTACCTACTGTCAGTGTAGACTCAGTGTTAAGCACATATGTGTTCCTTCCCAGAATTTTATAAATGTATTCTTGGCACTCTATGTTCCACCCACATATTTTCGATTGCTATTTAGCCATGTTGCTAATAGTCAAAGGAATTTGTCGAAGAACCTGGTCAGGGTTTTGTTTTGTTTCTGTCTAGCAGCTGTAACAGCTCAATAAACTCTTTTATTTGGAGACCCTTCAGTTTTAAGAGTTTTGTTTTAACAAGTGCCACTGGTTGACTTGTTAAATGGAAAATAACTGAGCTGCATTCTTCCCTTCCTCGTACGTATATGCTGCTCTTAAATCCCAGTACTCTTTCTCATCTTGCAAGGAACAAAATATTTGGAGAAAACAAAAATTTTAATCTCCTAAATTAACTCATAGTCTCAACCAGGTCTGGCCTGACCTCAGAAGCTATAGTATCTTTTTCTTTTTTTTATTTTAGTAGTGCACACACCATAGATTTATTTCAAATCCAGTAAAGTATCTCATCCTGATGTTCAGCTATAATTGACAATAAAAACACTTCTCAGATGCTAATAGTCTAGTTGGGATAATATACTTGAAAGGTTAACTACCAATTCAATGGCACATGCAATTAATTGCTGTAAGAACTCAGAGGCTGTGACATTTAATGTGACTATAAAAGGATTTCATCAAGAACTACAAGTTTTGTTACCAGGATAAGTAGCAGTGTAGGCCAGTAAGGGTGGATCTTCCCTCCTGATCATGCTTTGGACTTTACATCCCCTTTTCCCTGGGTAACATTAGGAAGGAAAGCTCCACAATTAACCTCCTTGGGGTTTAAAATAACACATGAAAAGATGGAGGTATCAGTACTTCCCTGGATCCCATTAAGGGAAAGCATAGCACGATCCCCTGGTCAAAAGAATGGAATCTGAGTTTCACCTCTTTTCCTGAGTGTTCTAGGTGGAGACTGACATTCTTATGGGCTGAAAAGATCAGAGTACGCTATTGTTTCTCCCCTAAATGTTAAGCCACTGGACCCCATAGACCTCCTGACTAAGAGTTTAGCCCACAGGAAAGCTGATTCAGCCGAACATACAAGGAAATGAGAGGAATAATTACCTACCAGTCTCTGCTAAATCTCTGCCTGCTTTTAAGTTCAGACTAAAAAAAACCAAAAACTTTTCCTTTTTCATTCATTCATTTTCTTTTTTTTAATTACTTGTTAATACCAACCAACATCTGGCATTATGAGCTTTGTCACCGTTCCACTGAAGCACCTCTCTCCTTCTACCGTGCAGCTGCTCGCCAGGGTGCACTGCTGAATATGCCAGCTCTCTTAGACCCTGAACTCTCTTCCTCTTCTCCATCCACTCCTCCCACAGCTGTTGAGGTTTACAACTGGCCTCCCTATTGATGATGTTTCAAATTCTATAAGGCAGTCCTCCGGTTTCCTCCTGAACCCACTTTTAAATTCTGATCCTTCAGTCCAAATCTAATAGTATTTTTAGTAGGTACTATCAGAAGTGAATTGACTTGTATGACAACCAGTTGGAGAATTGCTAGCTATATGAAGAATAATCCAAACACACACACACACACTCATGACCAACTGTTGTGTGTTGTGTTGATTGTGTAAGAGGAGAAAACATATTCACCTCTCAAGTGAAGGATCAACTAGAAAGCATTTTGCTTCTGTGGCTAAGCACTAAGGCTTAGAGGTGAGCATCCTTCTTTCAAACCCAGCTTTGCCATTTCCTGACTGGAAGATCTTGACCTTCACCTTTTCAAGTCTTAGTTTGTATAGGCATATGACCTAAAAATAACAGTAGTAGCTCATCCATAGACTAACTGTGAGAACTAAATGACAAAAGGCATGAAAAACGCTGAGGGAATTTGCTGCCTGGCATGTAGCAACCTTTCAATTGATCTATAACCTCTCAATCAAGCCAGAGAGAAAGCTTTCAGAAGCAAGGGAAGCACTTGTCATTTTCTGACTCACTCAAATGTCTCATCAAGCATTTAGGCAGGCTACCCAGTCCATCTTGTCTGGATCATAAATTAAATTACATCTCTTCATTATAATTAGCCAGCTCTCTAACTCCAACCACTCAGCCTCATTACTATATCAGCCCACCTAGCTACTTCTAAGACTGAGCTGGAAAGAACAAAACCACCCTTTAAGAAAAACTCAAATTTTAAAGATTCCTGTTTTGCAGGCTCAAATCACCAGCCTCTTCCAGGTCTCAATCTGTGTAGGCAGGAGGTGCACAGTTCGATATGCATTTAAGCCTACGATGTTTTCAAATTCCATTCTGGTTGATATTTGACAAATTACTGCTGCACAACATCTTATAAGTATTCTCAATAGACAAATGCTAACTGTACCATGACTCCCATGTGAGAGTCTTAAACATCACCTATTTCAGAACAGATTGCTTGAGTGTGAACATCAGGAACAAATACATGACATATAGTCTAGCTCATCTGTCTTTGGAGAATGCAATTCTGTATGCCTATTAAGTGCCTTGAGACAATAATGATCCAGTGATTGAAGCAATTAACATCAGAAGAAAGGCACCAGGGATAGTCTCTCCCCTTCACTCCAAGATCCCAAGGAAAAATTTTCCCAGGCAAGAAAAGAAGTAAAACAGGAGAGATTTGCTTTTATTCTTCTGCCCCTCAGTGTAGATGCCCATCTAGGGAGCTGTAGCACCTCTCCATGGAAATCCTGGAGCTGTCACACAGAGACAAGAAAAATCTGAAAGTGTGAAGACAATAAAACCTCCATACCTGTCCTTCCATTCAGGAGAATTGGTTTTCCCTCCAGATCACCTCTTATGGGCACAACTGTGATTTTATATTCTGTTCCAGGCTGCAGACCTAGAAAACAAAAAAAAAAAAGCAGCCAACATGAGTGTGAAGACAGGCTCCAGACCCCATTCCACTCAGCTTCTACCTGGGTTCTCTTGCAGAGGGTAAGACTTATGCTAACCCCAAAGCTAAAAATCAAGGCAAGTAACAAGCCTTGGGATCAGCAGAATGATGGGGAACAGATGGCATCGAGTCCTTGGGGCTCCTGCTCTTTGTTGGCTATTGAGTATTTATTTCCCAATTTTATTTATAGTCCAAATGTTTTCCAGCTCCTAACAACCAGATTCACTCAAAACTTCGTTCTTATAATAGAAGAAAGACGGGAATCTGGACCAAGTCATCTCCCTGTGGAAACAGCTTGAGTGGTGTTCCTCATGACACAACTATTCAGACTCCACTAGCAAAATGAAAACAGACAGTCACATCTATGAAGCCTGCACTCTCATTCTCCTCTCCACTAACATGGAGAGCTACAAGCTCTTCTCTGGAAACAGAGCTGAGGAAGTAGGCAGCAGAGTGAGGACCCAGAGGATGCACCATGAGGCTAATGAGCCTGAGCATCTTCCGTTTAGATGGCTTCTTATAATGGCCTGTGGTATTCATGACTGTACTTTTCTCACAGAAGACCTTGAAAAGTGTAGAAACTTCAAGTATTACAAAACTTAGTCTATCCTTGCATCCCTATTTACCAAGTTCTAAGTCTCAGTAGAACTGGTTCAGTCATCTAAGAAGAGGTTTCCGACCCTGTGGGTATGTTACTCACCAAATCAACTCTCTTTTATTCTCTCTCTCTCTCTCTCTCTCTCTCTCTCTCTCTCTCTCTCTCTCTCTCCCTCAATATCTTCCTTTCTTCCAACCCTCTCCCAACATTCCTCCAAAAGAAGCACATGTATACACCATCAAATGTATCCTAAAATATACATAGGCCCTCAAAAAATATGCTGACTTGGAAGGACACTTGAGACATACACTGTAAATGAAGTGTCCTGGGATTGCAGCCCTTAAATGCTGGCACAGAGACAGCAGTCCACTGGAGCAGGCTTATATCTGGGTGTCTAGAATCAAGTGTGGTTCCTAAGGCCTGGTGTGCACTGTCTCCCTCCATCTTTGCTTCTACAGCGAACATCTGGAATCTCCAAGTATAGACTCTTACCAGTGATGTCATATCTACTCTTGGGATCATGGCTCTTGGGCACAGTGACCTCCGTCACTTCCTGCCCTGTTAAGGGGCCATACCGAAGCTTGTAATAGTCCACCTCAGTCAGGGGGTTCTCCCACTCCACATCAAGGGATGTCTCAGTCTCTTCATTTACCCAGGCTGTGCCCACCACAGCAAGATCTAGAGCAGAGATCACAGAAGACAAGAGAAAATGGTTGAGTACAGAGGTCACAAAGGTCTGAAACAGTCCATTGGCCACTAGTTAGCCTCCTTTCTTGACACACTGAGAGCTGGCTTCCGTTAAGGATATAGTCTTGGAGCTCCCCCAGGTAACAGCTGGTTGTTGCTCTTGGCAATCTCCACAGAAAGCAGACTCTTCCTAGAAATACTCCACTTCTCATCCCACTGTGCACCATGCAGCTCCTTCCATACAGACTCTGACCAAGCTGGAGCTGCTCCTCTCGAGCCAGTATCCAAAACGTCCAGCCCAAGGCTCAGCCGCTCTTAATGGGTGTTCTTCCTTTAGCAACAGAGTCCCTGTCCTTGGCAATAGCCATGGGAATAGATGCATGTAAAACTGGGACAATACATTTTAACTTTTCAAAATATAACATTTCTAAGGCAACTAGATCCTTCCTCTAGCTCCCAAATTAGAGTGCACTGTACTCATATGCTCTATACATTAACCCAAAACAAAACTGCAAAGTAGGTGATTTTTAACTGGGTCTTTCTCTTCATCTTCCCCGAACTTTCTATCAAATTATAATGCTTTCATAAGGTCCCTAGTGTATTCACACTGCCTTGTTACTCTGTTCTTTAAAGGACACTCATCATATGCCTTTGTTCACAGTAAAATGCAAAGGGCTAAACATTTGTCCTACCAATTGGGAAATGACCCTAAAATTTTAATTCAAATGAATGGCACTCTAAGGGAAAAACTTTTGGAAGGGGTCAACTGAGGGCTTTTGTGAACGTTTAGAATTGCAATAGCTGTTTCCCGGGCTGATAGAGCTTGCTCTTAAAGTATAAGACAGAAAAAGAAAGAAGGAAAGAAAGAAAGAAAGAAAGAAAGAAAGAAAGAAAGAAAGAAAGAAAGAAAGAGAGAAAGAAGAAAGAAAGAAAG